ATCTACAACCATCGCTTTTTTTCTACAGCTCCAAAAATGAGGATTTAGGAAATATGGATTTTACAGCCACTTTTTTTTGGATGTAGCTTTAAAAAATAAAGATACAGCATGATTGGTAAATAATGTTTTAGGATGTAACTTTAAGAAGAAAAAACTAAAACATGATTGGTAGAGAATTAAGGGTTTAAGTAAAAAAATGGCTGTTAAAGCTACTTACAACCCAACCAATCATACACTTAATATTAATTATGCGAATCGGAATTGAAAAGAAAAAAAGGAAGATAAAACAATATAAGTCTGTTCTCTAGCTCTTGCGTTTGAGACAGGTTTGTTTACTGTTTCCCCTTCTTTCCTCAGTCTCACACTAATTGCTACCTTATGCCAATACCATGTTATTGGTATCAAGTTTGGACCTACGAGTTGGAGATTTCTAGTGTAGATTTCAAATAAGTTGTAACCAACATTGAATAAAATAAAAATGGTATAGATTGAACATTTAAACCAAAAAAAGAAAGAAAAGAAAGTTGGATATTATGTCTAGAAAATTTCCACTAGTGATTATGTTTTGTATTGTTGACATTAGACACAGTACATTCTTCTGGTAGTTTGTGTGTACTAGTTTTATGGACTAGAGAACACTATAGCTATATATATGTAGATTCCTCCATGTAACGGGCATGAACACATGGCCTTCCACTACGTACCCATAGTCTTTCTCGATGATCTGCAACAGGCAAGTATATGGATCATATAACACTATTGGTAATTCCAACTTCATGTTGTATCACATCATTCAACCAACAGCTTTTAAGGAGATCAATATGAGATCTCTAATCAAGCCTAACATACCGTTTCGATCATCAAATTAAGTGGAAATGACCCCTTTTATCAATATTCTTCCTTCCTTCATAGGAAGCGTTGCGCAGTTGATAATGGCTCTGGCATTGATCGTCTTTGCGGTAAGGATTCAACTTATCTGATTCTCTTTATTGATCTAGCTCCAAAAACATTGTTTGATGTTCTTCTTGTTGTGATAAAAGAAAACAAACTTAGCTT